TTAGGATCAGGTGCTGTCTGTGAGATTCCGTGTTTGTGGAGAGTGGCCGGCAGCACGTCAGAATCGGGTGCTGTCCAGTGAGATTCCATGTTTGTGGAGGGGGGCAGGCTGTGCATCAGGCCCTCGGGCTGCCCCAGTGAACAAAGTTCACAGCTCATGGCACTGACCTTGCAGCCAAGTTCCTCCATGTGACATGCTTGGCCATGCCTGGCACTGGCTTCCCCAGCAGTGCCAGCCACTGCCCTCGGCATCCAGCTCACAGCCCCAGCAGCATAGGGCCCTGTGTCCACGTGTTCTCCTGGCTCCTGATGCTGGGCTTTGGTGGTCCTTCCTTCCTTTGTTTCTCTCTCAAAAACTCCTGCTTGTCCCTGCTTCGTTTGTTCCCAAGAGGACCCTGACTAGCTGCTGGCTGGCGACCTATCTCCACCTTAGGAAGGCCATACCTCGTGCACGTTTGGTCATAAATTTCTCACATACTCCAGTTAACAATGGGTCCCCCAGCACACACGGTCCTGCTAGAATCCTGTCTCGTGGACATTCTTGTGCTCAGCTGTTGTCAGTCACCAGGTTGGCATATTGGCATTTTCTGAATATAAGTGGTCAGCGTTTCATAGCAAATGCGGCTGGTCCTGACCCCGTTGGAGGCTGACAGTGCTTCTGCTGGCTGCCCAGGGCAGTATTTAGAGTTAGTCTGCAGGAAATGCTGTGGAATTCTGTGGCACACCTGTGCTGGCTGTATGTGAGCCGGTCCACTGGTCCCCCTGTTGTGGTCACAAGTCAGCTTCTTTATGAGGCAGATCAACCTGGAAGAACTCAGTCTGTGGGCTCCAACTCTGCCTCTACTAAGCCCCTTAAACACGTGCACACACCTGCCACAAACACACATACACTCTCTCTCTCTGAAGCCATGACCTAGTACCTAGTCAGGAGATGGCCACGTGGGTCTCTGTACCTCTGTGTCTGGCGCCTGGTAAGGGGAGGCCGGCTGTGCTCTGGATCTCTCCTTTGCCCACCTGAGCCAGGTGAGTGGGGTTCTCAGCCAGCACTTACCTGGCGTTCTGAGCTATTTCATTTTTCTTTCCTTTTCTGTTCAGCCTCCAAATCTCAGATCTGTCCCCAAAGTCCTAAATTAAATTAGTGTTCAGCTCAACAGATGTCTACCGAGTCCTCATGTCCCATGGTAACAGCTGCCATTGCTGAGCGGCCACATGGCCCATCCTGTTTGCTCCTCAGTCACCTTGCCTGTGGGCGCTGTCACCTCCTCTGCCTGGCAGACCTAGAGCCCATGGCCCAGGAAGGACAACCTGCCTGCCCAAATTCACCCAGCCAGAGTGGCAGAGGTGATGGGACTCACTCCCGCCAGAGCCTCTGAGGGAACTCACTTGCTCTCGACAGGGACAGGGGCTCAAGCCCCTTCAGGTGTGGGCGATGGGGCAGGGAGGGATTCACACCAGGCCTCATTCCAGACTCTATCTCGAGCCACACCGTGGTGGGGGCACACTCACAGCTGGGTGTGGTTAACTCAGAAACGGAGGCTGCCCCTTCCACGGAGGCGCTTGATATTGATACAGGGGTGATCCTATTCTGTTTTGTGTTTCCTTGCCATCCTGGGCTAGGGACCTGGCCTGCCCGTCCTCTACCCTGCCAAGCCTGGGCATGCTGGGCCTTTATGGAGGCCCCTTGCCATGGGGGAGAGACCAGGAGAGCCTGGTGGTGGCTTAGCCAGGCTGCACCTGTTCCTAATAATAATGTAAAATCACCTTGCAGAACTGTGAGAGCCAAGCTGCCTGAAGCCCAGAGGTACCCTCCCCTGCCTGGCACCCAGAGCAGCATCTTATTTGCCTGGGGGAGAAAATCTGGTGCCTAGGATTCCTTCTTCTGCCAAACAGCTACTTTCCCAGCATTTCACCTGCGCTCTTTCTTTAGAATCAGACCTCTATGTGACTTAGGACCTCCATTGTTCATTTGAAAATGGGGATGCTGATTGAAAAACGGGGATGCAGCTGGGCACGGTGGCTCATGCCTGTAAATCTCAGCACTTTGGGAGGCCAAGTGGTTGCATCACTTGGAGTCAGGAGTTCGAGACCAGCCTGGCCAACATGGCAAAAACCCATCTCCACTAAAAATGCAAAAATTAGCTGAGCATGACAGGCACCTATAATCCCAGCTACTCAGGAGGGTGAGGCAGGAGAATCACTTGAACCCGGGAGGTGGAGGTTGCAGTGAGCCGAGATCACACCACTGCACTCCAGCATGGGTGACAGAGAGAGACTTCATCTCAAAAAGAAAATAAAAAATAAAGACGGGATGCTGACGTCCCCAGCACAGGTTGAGCCAAACAGATGCACCAGGTCTTTGAAAGGACAGGAGGAAGTGCAGTGAATGTGAACCTGGCCCCTCCTCCCCTCACTTGTCCTATCTCATTTAGCAGTATCGTCTTTCAGGTCCCGTGAGAAAAGTCATGGTAATAAAAACATAATGCTTTAATCAATAACACCCATGTCTGTGTTTTAGCTTTTTATTTTGGGAATGGGCAGAGATACACAAAAACAGAGTATAGAGCATCCCAAGCCCTGGCGTGTTCATCTCCCAGCACCAGCAATGGGCAGCACCTCCCTGTTCCTGCCTCACCTCATAAGTCCTTAATATCATCAAATACCCAGTCAGTGTTCACATCTCCCCAGTTGCTGATCTTTTTGTCCAGTTGGGAGAGTCCAGATGCATACAAGATGTGTGCCTCTCGTTAGGTGGGTGTGTTTCTTGAAGAATGGGGTCCCTGTGGGGGGCACTAGGCAGGAGCCGAGCAGCAGGGGGCCCTGGCTGGCCTCTGACTGGGTCTGTTCTTTCCAGCTTTACCTGCTGGATGCTATGGGCATTTGAGTCCCACCTTAAATGTGACTCTGTACAAGCCTGGTTTTCACTTGTGGGATGGAGTCTGGTTTCCTGCCACTCTCTGGATTTATTGGAACATTCTGTGTCTTTGGCCAGGTGCAGTGGCTCACACCTGTAATCCCAGCACTTTGGGAGGCTGAGGTAGGCAGATCACCTGACATCAGGAGTTCGAGACCAGCCCTGGACAACATGTTGAAACCCCATCTCTACTAAAACCACAAAAATTAGCTGGGTGTGGTGGCACGCATCTGTAATCCCAGTTACTAGGGAGGCAGAGGCAGGAGAATTGGTTGAACCTGGGAGATGGGGGTTGCAGTGAGCTGAGATCACGCCACTGTATTCCAGCCTTGGTGACAGAGTGAGACTTTGTCTCAAAAAGAAATCATTCTGTGTCCTAGGGTGAATGCACATAACTTCCTAAAATTTCTAGTAGCTATTAAGTTGGTTAATATCACTTTGCTGGTTTTATCAGTCAAATGTGGTTGACTATTGGCAATTTCATGTAGTTCAACCTAACAAAAGGCATGATTTAAGTTGCTAAGTGAAACAAGAGCCAGGAGCAGTGGCTCACTTTACCCCTGTAATCCCAGCACTTGGGGAGGCTGCAGCAGGAGGACCACTTGAGCTCAGGAGTTTGATTTCAGCTTGGGCAATATAGTGAGACCCGTTCTCCACAAAAAAAAATTAAAAATAAATTTAAAAGTTAAAAAGTGAAATAATTGTAATATATGTGTTGTGCAGAGGGGCGGAGGACCAGCATGGGCACAGTGGTAGTCTGTCAAATAAGAGAGATTAAGCAAAAGCAGACATCTGCAGCCTGAGGCTTACCTTGGCCTCGCAGGGTTCTTTCAGTGAGTCTCTGTTTTATATAACAGCTGTAGTAAGGATGATTCACGTACCACACAATTCACCTATTTAAAGTGTACTGGCCTGCAGTCACAGCACTTTGGGAGGTGAGGTGGGCAGATTGCTTCAGCCCAGGAGTTCAAGGCCTGCCTGGGCAATGTAGTAAGGCCCCATCTACAAAAAATACAAAAATTAGCCAGGTGTGGTAATATGCGCCTGTCATCTCAGCTACTTGGGTGGCTGAAGTAGGAGGATCACCTGATCCTTGGGAGGTTGAGGCTGCAGTGAGCTGAGATCGCACCACTGCTCTCTAACCTGGGTGACAAAGTGAGCCCGTCTCAAAAATCGAGTGTTCAAGTTGTTGATTGTTTTGTATATTCAAAGTTGTGCAACTATTATTGCCATCAGTTTTAGAGCATTATCATTTCTCCTGAAGAGACCCTGTACCCAGTCGCACTAACTCCCATTTCCCCCCAATCCCTTATCCCCAGGGAACCACTAAACTACGCTCTGTCTGTGGGGATTTGCCTATTCTGGGCTTTTGCTATAAATGGCAGCATACAGAGTGTGGTCTCCAGTGTCTGGCTTCTGCTCTGTGTAGTGTTTTCAGGGTTCACACCTGGTGCAGCGTGTATCGTTCCATTGTACCGAAGGGCCACATTTTGTTTCTCCATTCGTCATTGATGGACCTCTGTGTTGCTTCCACTTTTTGGCTGTGATGCGTACATGCTGCTGTGAAATCTCTGTACACGTTTCTGTTGAACATGTGTTTCTTTTGGGCATATTCCTGGGATTGGAGTTGCTAGGTCATATGGACCCTCTGTGTTCAGCCTCTTATGAACCTTCAAACTGTTTCCAAAGCACCTGCACCGTCTTTCAGTCCCGCTGGCAGTGGAGGAGGGTTCCGGTTTCCCCACATCCTCGCCAGCACTTGTTCTGTGACTTTAGAATCACAGCCGTCCCAGCTGATACTGTAACGAAACCTTCCAGCAATATGGGATATCTATAGAGGACAGGGAGAGGGTTGTTTTGTTAGTGGCTTGGCATATTAGCCGGGGCCGTTTTTTTCAAAAGCTCCTGAGGAAGCCCCATGTGGCGTGTAAGCACAGCACATGCCGTCCAGCACCGTGCACCCCTGCCAGCCTCGGCCCTTGCTGGAGGCCAGTGGGAGGGGAGGGCTTGACTTGTGACTCGTTTCCAGGATGTGAAAGGGTCTCCCCTTGCCTCCAGATCTCACCTGCCAAATGCCCCTTTCTCCGCAGGCGTGACCATGAAGCTCATGGACGAGGTCGCCGGGATCGTGGCTGCACGCCACTGCAAGACCAACATCGTCACAGCTTCCGTGGACGCCATTAATTTTCACGACAAGATCAGAAAAGGTAACCACTCTGCTGGCAAAGAGTAGGGAGGCAGTGCCCTTTGGCCGCTCGGGCCCCTGCACCAGTTAGTCTTCTGGTCACACCCAGGGTCATGTGGGCCTCAGTGTGTGCCCATCTGCCCCAGGGAACGGGAACCTGAGGTTTCTTGCCTTGTCCTGGCTGTTTATTGACATGATGTTTCAATCTGGTAAAATCCATGACTCAGATATGATGGGGCCATTATCCTCCTAAAGACTTGCCTAAACTCACCTCTGAAAACGCTCCACAGACGGAGCTCTGGGAAGGTCCTGTGCCGACAGCTGCCATGACCCTGGACACCAAACCTCGCAGCAGCGCGTTTCATTTTGGGAGAGGAATTAATGATTCATGATGTAGGCAGTGGCAGGATCAGTACAGAAAAGCCTGCAGGAGCCCCTCCTGGACCAGCCCTGCCCATGCCACCCAGGGCAGTACTGGCGTTGGGAGGTTTTTCCCCATGACAAAAATCCAATCCTAGCCACCTGGCCCTGCCTGGAAATGGTGCCTGCTGTCCCTGGGGTGCATGTGCCAGCTCAGGAGGCCAGCCCTCTGCAGTTTGTATGAGCAGGGGTCACCACGCTTGTCTCCCATTACTGCTCTCTGTGGAAGTAAAGTGAAGTGCCCCCGACGCATGGTGATTTCTGTCAGTGTCACGGTTCCTGAGATGAGGCCACGCACCATGCAGCCCCTGCCGCAGCCCTGCCTCGAAGGCCGAGGCTGGTGTCAGCATCATCAGGGCCTGGTGCTGACTCTGAGGATACCTCCTCATTAAAGCAGCTCGTGGGAGGAGCTCTCAGCTGAGACCAGCCCCTTGTCCTGAGGTGACGGAGTGGAAGAAGTGCAGGTTTGGCTCTCCTCGCCACGGCTCCTACCCACCAGAGCCCAAGCAGGGGCAGCCCAGCCCTGGTGCTCCCTCCGGCAGCTACTACCATAGAACATGCCTGGCAATGGGCGGCCCAGGACTGGGCAGAAGCACCCGAGATTGGAACAGTGGAGGGTTGGCTCCCTCCCTGGAATGACGGAGAGCAGGTGGGCTGGCACATGTTGGATTTTGGGTGCTTTGGGGTGAGGAGAAGGATGGTCTGTGCCATTGCGCCCCTCCACTTTGCAAGAAGCCCTCTTTTTTTTTGGTTACATGGTCTCACTCTGTGCCCAGGCTGGAGTGCAGGGGTGTAGTCTCCGCTCACTGCAGCCTTGAACTCTCGTACTCAAGCAGTCCTCCGACCTCCGCCTCCCAGGCAGCTGAGACTACAGGCATGCACCACCACAACCAGCTAATTTTTGCATTTTGCACTTTTTGTAGAGACAGTGGCTCACTCAGAATCTTTTTTTTTTTTTTGAAACTGTTTCACTCTTGTTGCCCAGGCTGGAGTGCAATGGCGCGATCTCAGCTCACTATAACCTCCGCCTCCCAGGTTCAAGCAATTTTCCTGCTTCAACCTCCCGAGTAGCTGGGATTACAGGCATGTGCCACTACACCCAGCTAATTTTTTGTATTTTTAATAGAGACAGGGTATCACCATGTTGGCTAGGCTGGTCTTGAACTCCCGGCCTCAAGTGATCCACCCGCCTTGGCTTCCCAAAGTGCTGGGATTACAGGCATGAGCCACAACACCTGGTCTCAGAATCTTTTCTTGACTGATAGATGTTTGCCTCAAACGTAGACCACAATGTCATTTTAGAATCTGCCCAAAACAAGCGGATCCAAACAAGTGTTTCAGCTTGTCCCCCACAGCCCTTCGTATGGTGCGCCACCCTGCAGGAGAATCTGTGGCATTGTATTCCATGCCATTGTTTCTAGGACTCCTGCCTGGGTAAGTCACCATTAGGGCTACCTTGTGAAATACAGCTGCAAAGTACGTAGTGGGAGATGTGCGTGCATTCCACAGGACTTGCTGTGCTCAGTCGTCCCTGAGTGTCCTTGGAGAACCATCAGGAGAGGGATAGACTTTCCGGGATGGTCGCTCTGTTTCCTATATGTCAGCCCAGTCATCAGATGTTCTCTGCACAAAGCTCAGCGAAGGACCCAAAGAATGAAAAGGCAAGAGCTTTGTTAGAAATGAGGAAGCCATTCAAGGGGGAACCCTCCCCGCAAAGCCCCCACCAATCCTAGCACTTTGGGAAGCCGAAGTGGGTGGATCACTTGAGTCCAGGAGTTTGAGACCAGCCTAGCCAACATGGTGAAACCCCGTCTCTACTAAAAACACAAAAATTAGTCAGGTGTGGTGGCAGGCGCCTGTAAATCCAGCTGCTTGGGAGGATGAGGCAGGAGAATCGCTGGAAGGTAGAGGCTGCAATGAGCCAAGATCGCACCACTGAACTCCAGCCTGGCCGACAGAGCGAGGCTGTGTCTCAAAAACAAAACAAAGTCCCCACCCTGAACTCCTTGTACAACTGGAAATAACTTTTAAGGGCGAGTGTTAAGAGGTGCATTGTGGCTCTTCATCAATAGGAATGATTAATTTTGAGGGAAAATCAGGAACTATAGTCCGAAGCTAACGCTTTTTCCAGGAATTAGCTTAGCAGCCTAGAGGGCTTCTGGGGCAACTCACATGAGGAGCTGCTTGGACAGGCTTTCCGCAAGGCTACATTTCTTCTAAAACAGGAGGGGACCTTCACTTTCAGAAGCCAGAATTTCTGGCAGGACATTCGCTTGGATTGGCTTCCTTCATGCAGTGAGGGTGCGGGGCAGGCTAGGTGGGACTCCCCTGATTTCTACTATCCCAAGCCACACCCAGGGCCTGGCAGTGGGCCCCCCAGGCCCCCACCTAGTCTCAGCTTTGGCCAGGACCTCCTGGGTGAAACCTTGGGCTCCTTACCAGGAACAGAGAGACCCTTGTTTTCTTAGATGACATCTTGTTTTGTGTATGGAAGAATTTGGGCCAAACTGAAATAGCAGCCACGGAGTCTGGCCTGTTTCTGTGCCAGCGTCCTCCAGGGGCTGTTGGATGCTGTCACACTCATGTGTTGTTTACCAGAGGATTGTCGCACCTGCCGGTTGTTTCCAGGGAGACGAGGGCTGTGCTGGCCGAGCGGGGCCAGGGTTGTCAGAGCAGGGTTGTTATGCTCGCCCCTCAGAGACTGCGCCTCAGATCAGCTCACTGCCTCCCACACTTGCCCATCAGTAGGGAAACAGAGCAAGGCTGTGGGGGGAGGCGTGGTCCCTGCTAGCTCTGAGTTCTGGGTGACACTGGGCAGGTGTGTGACAAACCGCAGGGGGCCAGCCTCACGGTTCCCATGTGACTTTCTCGCGGACACTGCTGGGTCTGCTGTACACCCTTGAGCCCCACGTCTGCCTCTCGCTTCGGCCATACCACGAAGGAGGCCTCAAGGGCCAGACCCTGCTGCTGGGGCAGGGGCACACATTATTGTGGATTGTCCAAGTCTGTGTCAGGAGCCCAGGGAGCTGCTGGCAGGCACAGAAACCTCACCTTGGGTTGCATGTGGCACCCGGCAGAGCTTTGTGCTGTAGAGAATGGGTGTTGCTTTCTGGTGGGCTCCGAACAACCAGCATCTGCTCGCCCCCAGTTCTAGAGGCCACAGTTCTGAAACCAAAGTGTCAACAGGGCCAAGGTCCCTCCGAGGTCTTCAGGGAGGATTTGTTCCCGCCTCTCCCAGCCTCTGGAGCAGCAGCTGTTCTGTGACATTGCTTGGCTTGTGACTGCGTCACCCCGGTCTGTCTCTGTGGTCACAAGGCCTCCTCCTCTGTGTGTCTTTCCTCTTCTGTCTCTTACAAGGACATTTGTCATAGGATTCACGACACACCTGGAGAATCCAGGGCGATCTCATCTCAGGACCTTTTGCTTAATTATACCTGCTAAGACCTTTCTTCCAAGAAGGCCCCATCCCGAGGTTGTGAGTAGATGTATCATTTGGGGACCCACTACAAACGCTTTGTCTCAGGAGCTCATGTAGATACTAGGTCACTTCCACTATTTTTTTTGAGACAGAGTCTTGCTCTGTCGCCAGGCTGGAGTGCAGTGGCGTGATCTCGGCTCACAGCAGCCTCTGCCTCCCAGGTTCAAGCAATTCCCAAGGTTCAAGCAGTTCCAGTCCAGGGCAGGTCAGCAGGCTGCCTCAGCCTCCCAGTAGCTGGGACTACAGCTACGTGCCACCACGCCCAGCTAATTTTGTATATTTTAGTAGAGATGGGGTTTTACCATGTTGGCCAGGATGGTCTCAATCTCCTGAACTCATGATCCACCCACCTCGGCCTCCCAAAGTGCTGGAATTACAGGCATGAGCCACCGCGCCCGGCCCTCACCTCCACTTTTAAAAAATCATGAACTTGGTCAAATCCCCTCTGGGATTCACCAGTCCCAGACTGCCTCTATCTCTGTGGATGCAGGACCTGTCCTTGTGAGACCCAGCGTGAAATTCACATCAGCCTGGAGAAGGGGCCAATCTGAGGAATGCAGGCGGAGTGACTCCAGCAGGCCCCCAAGGACCCCCCACTTTTGAGAAGAGCAGCATACAACTGGGCAGGGGACTGGCCCCAGCCCCTGACTCCCGAGACCAGCCCCACTAGAGCCAAATGAGAGGCTCTACAGTAGCAGGCCTCGGGCTGTGATGAAGGGCTGGGGCCTTTCCTCTGAGTGGCAGGGAGCTGGGGTCAGCGTCAGAAGTGGGAATGGATGTGATGTCTCCACAAGCACCAGGAAGCAGTGGTTTTGTAATGACAGGAAATAGTCACATAGACCAAGGAGTTGCAGTTCTTTGTGTTGGGGCATTGTGTTAGTATTAATTCAACCTGAAGTATAAATTCAATCAGCAAAGGATTACTTTCAAAACTGTATGTTTATGGAAAAGGTGCTGGTGCCAGGTGGACTGGGCACATCCAGGCAGGTGGAGCCTGAGGGCACAGCAGGGCCATGGCAGCCATTCACAGCCCATGCCCCTCAGGTGAAAAGCCCTGAGAGCCCGCTGGTCCCCTGGGAGGGGACCACCTACCTCCCACAGGCTGATCTGCCACAGTGGGGAAA